TCAATAGCTTCTCTCCAGACAGCCGACGCATCTTTCCATTTTTCAAGTTGTTCTAATGCCTCGGCCTTCCTCATCAGGGCCTTACCGAAGAACTCTCGCATATCCTTTGGTGGCTCTCCATTGCCGAGATCGATGGTCTCAGAGTCACCCTTCGAGGGACCAATGATAGAGAGAGCACGATCCGCGTCACTAATTGCACTCTTAGGTTCACCTGTCTTTAGACCGGTCAAGGCACGGTTGGTGAGCAAGATGATAACGATGGGGTGGTCGTTGGGTATTAGAGAAATGGAACTAGAGTATGAAGCGTGCGCTACAGCATAGTCACCTCGCTTATAAGCCTCTGTCCCTTTCTGTCGGTGGCTGTGTATAGATGCTAGTGATGCAGGGGAAATCTGTGGGACTGTCCTTGGAGGTGCTTTTGGCCGGACTGGGGTGGAGGTGCGAGATTGCCTTGCCGGAGATGTTGTTGCCGGACGAGCTGGTCGGGCTGGCAGAGACGAACTTTGCAGCAAGTCTGGTTCCGGTGCGTCAAAACCAGGAGGAACCGAAGAGGCAGCTTTCCTCCTCCTTGCTGGGCTGACGTACGCCTGAGACGCCTCCTCGTCCGCATCAAAACGTGATAGCAGTGTTCGCTGTTTTCTGGTGTCCGGTTGAGGATGATGAGACGGGCGCTGGATCTGCTTCCGCAGATCGTCCTCCTGCTGAAAACGTGGCCTTGAAGGAAGTTCCGCCGGTCTGCCTCGCGAGCTAGCCTGGTGGGGCGAACCTTGGGGCTCTCCGCCTCGGGAACGTGAAGACGCAGTTGGTGGTTCTCTGGATGTTTCCAGCATCATAGCTTCATTCGTCATTGTTTCTGTCTGTGCTGATCCTTGGGGGGATTCACGTCGGGTATCCACCTTCCGCTCCCTGCTTCTCGGAGGATCCGGCGTACTATCTCTCATCCAGCGAGGCTGGGACGAAGTGTCTGAGGAGCCGTTATTGAATTCTTGAACGGCCTGTTGAACCCGCTTCGTACCCGTTTTCCAAAGTGAATTGGCTGATTTGAAGAGAGTGCTTCCAAATTCGGATGCCAGCTGAGCGGGATCCTTTTCTCTGGGGGTGCCATTGTTCGAAGATCGATCGCGAGAGGAAGCATAGCCATCGCCTTCTCTCCTTGACCGTCGAGACACCCGGGGATCTGGTGATCTTTCCTGCTGGCCAGTATGGTTTCTACTTTGTGCCTTTTCCTTTGCTTCGCTGTGAGCCTGATTGAGCAGCCAGCCGACGGCTTGCTGGACATCTGTGCCGGACGAAGTCTCGGCGAGCGCCTCTCGCGCCTTGTGAATGGGGAATCCCATATCTACTAATTCTGCAATGGCTCTATCTTCCGGGGTATGTCGTGAAGGCTCCGCTTCAGGCTCTTCGGGGACCTCAAGTGCCGGGCTGGTCGTCTCACGTTTCGGAAACTCAGATACTGGCTTTGCAAGAAGGCCCAGTACGTCGTCATCATCGTCAGCACCATTTAGCGCCTGTGCCTTCGTAGCTTGAACCTCTGTCCTCTGGCGCCGGCTTGCACTAAACTCCGCCATGCCGAATGGATCGTCGTCGTCCTCCAGGACAGTAGTAGTAGGAACTCCGGCGGGGGAACGGGAATCTGTCCGAGACAGAGGAGAGGGGCTCGGGATAGGAAAGTTGGTAGACTTGTCAACAGGCGCAGAGGCGTTGAAAGCAGCTAGCAGATCATCTTCATCATCCCCTCCAGACGTTGTCCCGCCCCTCACCACACCAGCCTGAGCTTGGGGAGCACTTTGGCCCGTCCCGGACTTCTCCAAACTGTCCCATATCTGATCATTGACTCCGCCATACTGAGCCTTGAGCTTCTCCTGCTTCTCCCTCTCCTCACGTGCCTTTTGTTCCGCCAGCTGCTTCTGTCTTTCGGCCAGGGAGAGGTTCTTGCTAGCGTTTCCAGACGGAAAGTTCAGCAGATTTGCAAAGCTATCAGTATTTGAGGGTGTCGTTGGCTTCGACGATGGGGCTCTATTCGAAGCCGTGGTGGGTTGTGGAGGAAACGGGCTTGAGCGGCCGGACATGGGGGGTGTAGGACGTAGAGCCGCAGCAGACATGCTTGAGAGAGTGTTTACCGGCGCGGGCTTCTGGGAGCTTGAGCTCTGACTCCAGTCAAGGCCCGAGAGGTCATCCATATTTGCGACGGTAGGTAACGAACGGCGTATGTAGAGGGAGAATTGGGCTCGCTCAGCGGGTTATCCTGCGTTGGGTGTGAAACTGGCGATGCTGGCGCAAACAAAAGGGGGCGAGGCAGAAGTGATACGCCGGTGTTACGCACAACAACATCGCTCAGGGACTTCCAGCAGACATCTGGGCGTCATGCCATCCCGCCAAACAGCTTCTATATAGTTTGTAAATCAACACACAAAATCAGCAAAAACAATAAGCGGCGCTTCTTCACGGCGTTTCTTCCGCTTTTCCCTGCAAAACATCGAAAAAACAACCAAGAGGGCGCTCGGACCAAGAGAAATTCCGCGGGATTCGGAGTTTCTTTTATCCACTCACGTGAGATGTTTCATTACGTAAGCAATGAGCCGAGGTTGGAAGAAAGCAACATAAAAGCAAGAGGAAAAGAAAATAAGTAAGAAATAATAATGACAATAATAGATCGAATCATAGATCATGGCAGAGAATGACGAATAGTTCGTGCTTGCAGGATGGCGATAGATGCCTGGCCAGGTATGACAAACTGGTCTGAGATGGCATGATATTGGCCCTCTGGTAACTCGGCGTTGCTCCGTTTTGCATAGATGAAGGCGATGGTCGTAAGTGCTCCGTTATTATTGAATTTTGGCCACCCCCATAGTCAACCGTTCTCTCTTCGAAGTAACTTCTCCGGGCTTGGGCTGCGTTTAACTGGCTTCAAGAAAAACGGTGGCTGAACCACAGTATCAGGCTGCCAAAAGTCCAATCAACATGTCTTCTCACCGAACTCCGGACGGGACGCTGTGCCTGTTCCGCGACTATAGCCGATTGGCAACCATGCCTTAATGCCATATTAAAGCTTACAGGCAGCAGAAGCGGAGAGCAGGCAGTCCTTGGGTGGGAGTGAGCAGTAGTAGTGCAGCTTCGATGCCCATAACCGTAGTTTCCTGTAGGGAGAACTATACTATACGAATTAAGCTCCGTATGCTGTCCACTGCCCACAGGCTGCCATCCAGTTCTATAGTTATGGCAACGAACGTATGGGATGGAGTACGGCTCCTCCGTCAAGTGTGGGCACCTTTGTGCCGTCCCCTTCGCCAACACGGACAAGAATCGAGAAAGTGCTGCCAGGGTCGGGTTTTTTTTTTTTTTTTTTTTTTAAAACCTTCATTGCCATTCTCGCCTTTTGTTTGACAAATCTGTGCCGTTTTCCATTTTGCTTCTTTCTTCTTCGTGGTAGGCTCCAGCAGGCTAAGCTCCACATGGCTTTTGGATGGCCGCGTATCATTCGTGATAGGCCGGTGCTAGTAGGACCCAGCAGATGCAGGTTTAAAACATCTAGCCCACGTCGATGGGGAAGTTAAAGTACCCCGTTTTTTCGATTGAGGATTTGCGTGCTTTCTTACTTGCTAGTTGATGCTGCTGGGCTTGTGTCGTTTCGAGACGAGGGCCCTCTTTCCCAGCTCCCCCAAACTATTTGGCAGTTCAACTAATTATTTAGGTCCTTTTCCTAGGATGTCATTTGTCGATATCCATGCTTATTGTCCAGCATAACCGAAGTATAGACATGAGTTAATCGGCCTGGCTCCATTTTAAGTGGACGAGATGGCCCTCGCGCAGAGGAAAGGGTCGGGTTCGATGGCGGCATCAACTCCATATAACTTTCCCACCTGGCGCAAATATATTGATGTATCTGTACGGAGTAATGTAGGGGCGAATTAGCCAGAGCTTCTTTGAGATGGCCATGCGATCTTAACCCCTTTCTGCTCAGAGTCCAATCAGGGGCAGCGTATAAGTAAACGAGTTGAGATAAACCATCCCCCGAGGGATGCTAATAGGAAGCCGCTCACAAGCCTGGCCAGGAAGGGAGCGTAATTTTTTCCTGTCAACTGTTATCCTGCATGGATCTATCCTGGGTCCAGATGGGTAAACTTGAATGCTACCGTTTCTCGCTCTCGCCAGAAATCATGCATGACAGTTTGATACTGAGTTCCGTAGCCGTAATATTAAGACGGGAAGGCGGATTTGCCCCTGATCCCTGGCCTGTCGCGGTGCCATGTAGCACGTCAGGACTTGTCCATGCCATGCTAGTCGGGATGGCTATATGCGAGTCAGTATTGGCTAGCTATATATAAGTACACAACGCTGGACGGACGGTTGAGCTAGTTAGTTCATGCACCACAGAGACGAGAGAGGGAGAGAGACGGAGAGACAGACGCATTATTCGACCTCCTTACATGATATAAGGGCAGACTCAGACATCCGCCCCGTCCCAACGCCGGCAGACCAGACAGGCATAAGAGCCCGGTCCCAACCAGAGACCAGAGATCCTAACGGAGGACCAGGACCAGCAAGCCGGCGGCCGCCAGCCAGCAAGCAAAGCCAGCATCCAGCGAGCCAGGGAGAGAGAGAGAGATGGCAAGCTCGTTTCCGCCCCGCCAGCTAAATCTCCCCACTGCTTCAGCTCTTTTTCCATAAATAATATATCTCTGACCGGCTAGCTATCGTCTTGGATCGAGATTTCGCTCCCTTGCCCCGTCGTGTCTGCGTCCTGCCCGTCTGCGTTGTCCGTGTATACTCCGGACTGTACAAACCGCCCTGGCCTGCAGATAACTCGCCAGCAAAGAAAGCAAAAGTTGACCCTATTTTTCGTTTCTTTCCTTTTTCCCCCGTCTGGATCTGCGAATCAAGTGACTCTGCAAGCCACGACGTTTTTTTTTGCTATTTTTATTTGTATTTTTTTTTATTTGTATTTTTGTATTTTCTCGCTTACCTTTTTTTTTTTTTTTTTTTTTTCTATTTTCCTCGCCATGGGCTTCTTCAGGCGCAAGGAGGGCCGGGCAGCAAGCAACAACAACAACATCCACAACATCCACAACATCCACCACCACTTCGAGAAGGACGGCCAGGAGTCGGTGTTCTCTAATAGCAGTTCCAGAGCGTCGAGTACGTCTGCGAGACTGCCGGTGTCTTCCATCCGGTCGAGCAACAACAGCCCAACGTCCCATCCAATACCCGAAGCCCCCATGGCGCCGCCGCCAGATCCCAACCTGGACCCAGCAGCCTACCTGAGAAGCATCCATGCCGTCCGCCAGCGGTGCGGCCTGGTGATGGAGAAGGCAAAGGAGAACCAGCTGAACCACTTCGATGTCGACATGAGCAAGTTCCAGACGACGGCACAGTACATCGTCTCTATCATCAAGGTACGCGGGGTTGACTTTGATACCAAACTACAACAGCAACAGCAACAGCAACAGCAATAACCACACAAACAAGACGCATGCTAACGTATATACACGTTCTGTAGAGAGACTACGCTCCGGATTTCCAGAGCATTCCTGATCACGGACGCTGGCAGCACTTTGATGTTGGCGGGAAGCCTCGCATTAACCAGCTGCTCCAGTCATGGCCTAGCACCATCGACAATCTGGAGAGAGCTCGCAGACTGATAGATCTCTTTCTTGTGTCGGTTCTACTCGACGCCGGCGCCGGAAACACCTGGAGCTACAAGTCAAAGGAGTCCGGAAAGGTGTACAGGCGGAGTGAGGGGCTTGCCGTCGCCAGTCTGGAGATGTTCAAGGCCGGAATGTTCAGCAGTGACCATACCGAGCCATGTCAGGTCGATGGAGCTGGTCTGAGGCGTCTGACCGTGGGAGCGTTGGCCAAGAGAATGCAGCATTCTGAAGAGAATCCTCTTGCTGGTCTTGAGGGCAGAGCTGGCTTGTTGGCTCGGCTGGCAGACGCTCTGAACAACCAAGAGCTCTTTGGCGTTGATGCTCGCCCCGGTAACATGCTTGGTAGGTGTTTTGCCTTTGATCTCTCTTCCCCTACAACTCACTGTTACAGTGCTAACCCTTTACTAGACTACCTTCTCTCTCATCCATCTACACTCGCTTCTTCAGTCCCCATCATCCCCGTCCCACTTCTATGGAATGTTCTTATGGATGGATTGTCACCCATATGGCCACCATCTCGCACCCAGATCGACGGAATATCGATTGGTGACGCATGGCCTTGCAAAGCAATGCCTTCATCTCCCCCCGCAGAACCGTGGGAGAACATCGTCCCTTTCCACAAGCTGACACAATGGCTCTGCTACTCCATCATGGCTCCCATGACTAAGATATTGAATATCCGGTTCTCAGGCCGTGAGCTGTTGACCGGTCTACCGGAGTATCGGAACGGCGGACTCTTGATCGATATGGGTCTGCTAACATTGAAACCAGAGGACACTAACCGGGGGCTGGAGGCATACAAGGCCAACGCTATGATCAAGGGGCAGCCAAACGTGGAGGTAGTCCCACTGTTCAGCCCTGATGATGATGTCATCGTGGAATGGAGGGCTCTCACCGTTGGCTTCTTGGACCAGTTGCTGGCAGAAGTAAACAACCTCCTAGAGCTGAAGGACGGACAACAACTCTCTCTTGCCCAGATGCTCGAGGCGGGTTCATGGAAGGTTAGTTGTCTTTCCATTTTACCTTGTTTTCCTCTTATAGCCTTGACAAGTACTGACATAAACCTACAGGGTGGACGAGAGATTGCCGAAGTCTCCAGGCCGAATACCAAGCAACCTCCTATCATGATCATATCTGACGGTACTGTCTTTTAACCAACGCAGAAAAAGCAACGCATACGACCTACGTTTATCTTGGAGGAAACCACACACTTTACGTTTATGTCTGGAGCATCCCTACTTACACATAACTTTTATTTCCTTTCTGATCCAACATGCTCCTAACGTGTTTATGACTATTTAATTTTGGTTATTCTCTCCCTTCTTCATGATGCTTCATGCTTTACTTCTTTTTGTCTTATACTTCTTCTCTTCGCACCTTTATTCTGGCCTTCCCCTTTTTTCTTTCTCAAGGACATTTTTCCGGTGGGCCTATTGTGTTTTTTTGACAAGTCATATCAAATTCATAGCGACATATTCCCTTTTTTCGTTGGAATTGGCCTTGAGGTCTTCATCCTTTGCTCTATCGACTTTAGCTCCCGATAGATGCGAGAGACCTTTCTAGGCCCGCTTAGGCCCTGGCAAATCTCACAAGATATTGGATATATATATTTCTTGGTTTAGCGAACAAAGGTAAAAAAAAAAAACACAATAAAATACGTTTCCCGTTCCATTTTGGGGGTTTTTAATTTCTTCTAGGACTCTCAGGTTGATTGATATATTAACAATATGTTACTCCCCTTGGCCCCGTTCTCTCTAACAACTAGGACACTGATCAGCCCCCTGGCCAATTATACTGACAGCTATCGCCAACACATAAACCGAGATTAGGATGTGCGGTACTGTGAAGAGAGTGATGCTTGTGCTTATGACGTTAGACACACGGACGGATACTCACGCGCCGTTGGGCCTTCAGGGATTACCTTCTTATCTGGAGACAGAATGAGCTCAGCAAGCCATCCAGCAAGCAACAGAGCTAGCTAAGGTACCCGCTGTGGAAAACTGGGTCAGCTTATACATGATCCGCATATTGCTCTGTCTGTGACCTGTACCCGTCTGTACGGAGTACCCGAGTACCTGTGATTTGGCCCCCAGCCTCGGTCAGGTTTGATATTAGCAACTGAACGAGTTAAACAAACTGGTTTGCTCATCGTCAGCCAGTCAGTCAGCGAACAATGCCTCTCTTCCTGACACCCGCCCTGCGTTCATCATTCCATTCGACCGACGAGGAAACAAATCTGATCGGTGCCAATATTTAATGAGCAACTAATATACCAGGTTTGCTAGGCTGGCGCCGACGTCTAGCCTGTGAAAACGCAAGAACCCGAATTCAGGGGCATAGGGGGCCCCACGGCTTATCAAACATCAAACATCAAACTAACGCAACGACTTCTCCGTTGCCTCCCAGACACCAACCAACGTACGGGGTTTCTGACTTGCTAAATTTACATATGTATCGCCTCCCCTGCACCAGCAGCTAACTAGTTAGCCAAGAAGGGGAGCGAATGACGGAAAAGGATCAAAAATAGATCCAACCAGTCAAAAAGGAAAGATAAAAACCTCCGCTGGATAACTAAAAAGACAAGGGTTTGGCGATCCAATTGAATGTGTTGGTCAGTTTTGGCCGGCGCTTACAGCTTTCTTTTAAGCCGTGACTTGTGGCTTCGTCATACCCCTACTTCTCACCGGCCAGTTTCCCTGTCCTCTTTCACTTTCCTTCCTTCACGAAGACGACGGCCAGGAAAAGAGCGGCTTTCACAGTCAGTTGAGTGGACTTCCATTGTCTACATTGTGTCTGGAGGTTATTGAATACGACGGGAGTCGCCAACAACTCGGCCTTTTTTATCTCCCTCAGCGCTAGCGGCCCGCCTTGTTTTAGGATTCTTCCCCTGCGCAGTTTAATTATATCCTTCCCCACGCCCCAATCCCCCCATCCCCCCTCGCACGCTAGTTGACGAGTTGACCTCGACTACTTTGGCTTAATCGAGTTCAGTGTCTTTTTTGAAGTTTTTTTAAAAAAATTTGTTTTAGCTGTTTAAACTACCGCTCAAATCAACCCGTGACGCTCTCTCACTTTGTGTCCTGTCGCAGCTGGACTTGCGAGAAACAAGCGGAGCGGTGGCGCTTAGCAGGCGCGAGCAACGAGATAGCGAAACGGTCGACGAAACGAAGTTGACGAACGCACGACGAATCAGGCGCAGTAGACGAGGGGAACGGTTTATGGTATAGGATGGGGTTTTTCAAACGGCTACGGGCAAAGACGAGGAGTCGCGGGGGGAAACGGGATCTTTACGGAGAGCAGGATCAGGACCAGTATCAGCCATATGCGCAGTACCAGCAACAGCCAGGAGGGAGCTTTGGTCGACGGCCGGCACGAGACTACACGAAGACGCTGCCGCCGAATGTGCTGTCGAATATCTTCTACCAAGTATGCCCGCATTCACGGGATACGTCGCTGACATCGTCAGAGGAGTCTATGACGGAGGATGGGTGCATGCTATGTGATATGCGTGACCTGGCGCATGCAGCGCTGGTCTGCACACACTGGTACGGCATAGCACAGAACATACTGTACGTTCATCCAACATTGGGAAGACGTGTCTGTCTCTTTAAAAACTTAGGAACTAACAAGCAGAAATGGACTACTAGATACCAGCATATTCGCATTGATGCGGTGCACTACTGCGAGCTGGAGATCGAGCTGGCGGCTAAACGCAAGAAGAACTCGTTCCTCAACCACAATGCCGAGCCACTGGATGCGCCGCGGACACGACTACTTCTGTTCATGCGGACGGTGCGCGACTCGCGGGCTCTCGGATCGATGGTGAAGTCGCTGCGAATGCCATACATGACCCGAGAAGCCAGCAAGAGCGAGCTGGCACGGACGATATCAGTGCTGCCCAACCTCCGCTACGTCGACCTGCCGGCCGGGTTCTTCAGCGACGACGCCTCCTCCCTGACCCTGAAACAAGAGCTTCTGGCCCGGTGCCCGGATATCAGACGAATGAAATTTGCCAAGGGGGCGGAGAGCAGCTTCTCGCGGCTGCCCAAGGTTAAAGGCTGGCCGAACCTGGAGGTGCTGGAGCTTTCGGGGCTGAACATCGAGACCAACCTGCTGCGTATGATACTGGGGTACTTTGAGCGTCTGACCGATCTGCGATTCGAGGACATGCCGTGGCTGGAAGACACGGTGTTCAAGGCGGTGCCTACCCTCCCGCCCTTCCCGGCGCTGCAACGCCTCACCCTCACCGACACACCGAAGATCACCAGCCGCGGACTGACATGGTATCTGAGCAACAGCAGCAGTTCACAACAGACACGCAGCGCCCTGCGACACTTGTCGATGGTCAACACGGGCGTGGAACCGCAGCGACTGCACGAGGTTCTGGCGCAGGCACCGCTGCTATCTAGCCTGTCGATGCAGCAGGAAGTCACACGCGAGTTCCCGCCCGACTACGTGCCGCCGCTGACCTCGAACTCGCTGCAGCTGCTGCACTACGAAATCACCTCTGAGACCGGCTCGAGCTCGTTCGGCGCCCAGGCCCTGTCGACATCGTACTATACGTACCTGATGTCCTCGCTGCTGATGGGCTCGCTGCCCAACCTGACGGACCTGTATGTGCGCGACGCCAATTTCCCCGAGACGCTGATGCTGGCACCGCCGCCGCCTGTCTTTGGCGACCCGAGCCGGCAGTCGCAGGCCAACGTCGGGCTGAACCAGGCGCTGTCCGTGTACAGCAAGGGGATGGACGAGCTGGAGTGGAACTTTACGACGTACCAGCCGTTTGCAGAGGCCGGGAGACGCATGAGCACGACGCGGCCGGTGAGTCTGCATGGGGCCCAGCTGAGCCCGGCCTGGGGCGGCGAGGCGAGGAGGAGCGTTCTGGTCGGCAATGGCTTTGGCGGGTTTCTGGCGGTGCCGGCGGAGGAGGAGCGGCGGCCGAGCACGAGCACGCGGTCGTCTGGGGGCCGTCGCGAGAAGCGAGACCTCTGGCGGTAACTTCTACTTCTACTCATTATAATAATGTCTACTCTATCCTCTTCCTCCTTTCCTCCTTATCCTTGTATCCTTATATCCATCTGTAGTCCTCATCTTATCTTATCTATCTTGGTCAGCCCTTAGTAAGCATTAATCATCCATGACTCATCATCCAAACCTCGCTTGCTGACTCATCCCTTCCCTCAGTCTATAAAAGCCACCTGGCGCCCTCCTCTTTTTCCAACTTCTTTCTTTTCTCCTTTTTCTCTCCCATCCGAGTGCAAGGGTTTTACGTTTCCAGTGAAGGTTCGCCTGAGGCAACGTTTTTGCTAGTTGAAAACTACAAACCAATGACCGCTCTAGTTGGTCTTCGGATCGGCTGGGAATTTTTGAAGAACTTGACTCCCACTGCAACAGATAGTGCTGTTGTGTTGACGATGGGTGGCTGGCCGCTGTGTCTCCTGTCTCTTGCAGATGGTCGATGGACTAACTGGCCAGTCAACAGCGTCGGAGGTCGCGAGGCGGCGCTTTTCACTGCTTGATGTCCCCTGGAGGGAGCATGTAGGGAAGAGACGAGAGTTTTACTATGATGATGTTGGTAGTAGTAAAGTTGTTTATTTGGTAGTGGTGATGGTGCTTAAATACTGGCTGGCTGGCTGGCATGACTCGTTCGTTCCTCGTAAACACATACAGACATCAATACATGTACATTTCCCGCGTCCGAAATAATCGACAAAAGAAACAAACAATCAATATAAAAGAAATCGCCTCCCGTCTCTTTAGCTGTATTCAATTCAATAATCCATTATTCGTCAATCAATCAATCAATTAATCAATTAATCAGTCAATCAGTCAATCGGTTTAGTTCAGTCTAGTCAGTCGGAGTCAGCTTGGGGATGCTGATAGTGCGCCGGCATGGGGACATGGCTCATGTCCAGCAAAGGCTTGCCCTTCTTCCTATCGCCCGTCGCGACGCCGCGTCCTCCTCTCGCCGCACCCTGCGAGGCAGCCAGCTTCTGGCTCTGCGCTACCAGTCCCGTAGGTGCAAACGGGAACGAGCCAGGCATCGCCATGTGGCTGTAGCCGTGGCCATGGCCCTGGTCTACGGGGTCAGTAGCGTTGAGATCGACCAGCGGAGCACCAGGAGCAGCACCAGCAGTATTCTGTCTTGAGCGGT